CAAACTCCAAAGCTGGGTCAATCAATCTCAACAGCAAAAAGGAAATCAGCGCGCAGAAACAAACAAAACAGAAAATCAGCTTTTTCACCTCACACTTTCTGTTCTTTTATCTGTAATTTTTTTACTCATATTCTGTCCCTATGATTGGGTAACTAAAAAACAGCAAAAAGGAAGACACCTTTCCTTTGAAAAATTGTTAGAATAATAGTAAAATGATAATGAAATAAAACGAGGAGGATCAGATTCTTGTACCTTGTTGAACTTGAGACGATTGTCCAACAGTTTACCCTCGGAGGTGAAAAGAAAATCTCCAGCCATTTTGTATAGCAGATGCTCATACCCTCTTTCATCCGCCACTAAAAACTCTCGTTCTCCGAAGTCTTGGAATGTTGATATGGGCTCACCTTCTGCACACAACACATTTCTCCAATAATCAAAGCCAGAAAGTAATTCATTCAGAATTTAGGAACAAAATTTCTTCTGGCATTCATTTTTGAACGACGACTAGAAAATCTCAGCAACCAAACAGAAAATTGACCGCGGAATGAGGTGTGAAAACTGACCTGGCATCTCAAAATCGTGCAGGATGAAATCAATAGCCAGCTCTATCGGCGTTTTTGGCGTACTAGAAAACAAAATTTATTAAAAAAAAATACACAAACCGCGACTATAATTAGAAGAAAAAAAACAGAATCAAAACCCAAATTCCACAAAAGTAAAATAAAATAATTACGAATATCTACAAAACCAACACATTCAGGTAAATTTCGCGGAAAAAACCCAACAATAAAAAAAAACCAAATAGGGAAATAAAACTAAATATAAAATAGTAATAAGAAGAAGACAAAGCGATCGAGACATTATAATGAAAGAGAGAAGGAGACATACGAAGACGATTCGGCGGCTTTGGTGACGTCGCCACCACCATAGCAAGAGTCGGCTTCAGACTTCTTCAGCTTTTGCATCGTGGACTCCACGGCCTTCTTGTACGAGTCCGCGGCGATTCCACTCGGAAATATTTTCCCACTGCAGTACACAAACAAATTTTACTCGGCGAGTTATTTATATTGATAAAATGGTGCTAATTTACGCTGATGGAGCTAAAATGCAGCGCCAAAGCCCAAAGCAAGCAGTTCAACACCGGCTCATAATAGCAGCAAAACCAGAAAAATCTAAAGTGCGCTGTTACGACCAAGATGCCGAAACAAAACGCCCGCGGCGGAGTTTAAACGCGAACTCGTTCGTTCACCAACGGCGCAAAGTAGCAAACGACGCATAAATAAGTGCGACGGCAAGCCGTTACGGTGAGCGCAATGCGCACACGGTGCACTTTAAGCGAGGAATTCACTAAAATGAATGAAACCGAATACGGACCTTTGATCGTAGATGTTGAAGCGAGCATTGCTGTAATCGGAGAAGAAAGTACGGAGATTCGATTTCTGGGCAAGCTCCCAGACCGGGTTCGACTCTCTGCCTCCGACGCCGACTATCCAGCCAGCGCCGAGCTCCACCGACAAGCCTCCGAAATCTTGTTTTCGGATCCTGCCGCCGATACGGTCTGAAGCTTCCAGAATCACTACGTCCTCCACGCCGTTCTCGATCAAAACCTTCGCCGCCGATAAACCTTCAGAAAAAAGAGAGAGAAAATGATAAGGACGAGAGAGAAATGAGAGTCAAAGTAATCAAAATCGACGGTGGCGATGAATCTCACCGGAGACTCCGGCACCGATGATGATGACGGAGGAGCGAGAAGGGGACTCCATGAGAATGAGAGAGAGACCGAGAGAGAGAGAGAGAGAGGTGTGTGTTGTGTATTTGTGTATCGTTGGCTAGAGAAGCAGAAATAGCGGGAGTCGGTTTATATAGTTTTTTTTTGTGGGGTGGGGGTCCGGGGATGGGATTCTTCAGGTAGAGACAGAGAGGAGAGAGATTTTGAGTTGTACACGAAGAAATGTGAGTACTTCTGTCTTTTCCATTTCCCTCTCTGGTTTGACGGGCATTGACGCGTCGACGCGGTAATCACTCACACGTTACGCACGTGATGTTTAACTGTAAAACTTTTTCTAGTTGTACAATATATGAGGGTGTTTTCGTCTGTCAATAAACAAAGTGAGTATTGAGTAGCTTTTTTTTTCTTTTTTCTTTTTTTTTCACCCAACAAAAGAAATTTTATTAAAGCCGAATAGATAAGTTTACATCATCTATACTATAGCCTCTTGTCACTCTTGTGCTTTGGTCTTTTTTTTTTCTTTTTCTTTTTTATCTTTTTTTAATTAATTTTTTTTGGGTATTCAATATCATTTCTTCTTTACATAAGGTATAGATATTTAAAAATATAAATAAATAAAACTGAAAAGAAAACAGTAAAAAAGAAAAAAAAAGAATATGGGTGAAATGGAGGGGGAGTAAAAAGAGGGATGTGGATAGAGTAGGGGAGTAACTTCCTCCATATAATTACTTAGGTAAAATTTATTTTTTATTTTATAATTGAGCAAATTAGTGTTTTATCATTTTACCCTTATTATATTAATTTGCAATCTTTTAGCACTTTTGTTAATCAAGAGTATTTTTTGGATTTTTGAATATTTTATCCTTTGGCTTTATAGATATAGATATAGATACATAAAAGTATAGGCAAAAAAAATAGCAAAATATTTAAAATACTAGAAAAATGCCTTTAATGAAAGAAAAATATTTTAAAATGAACGTATTTATTAAATAAAGATAATATAGTAAATTAACATATTCTATTTTTTTGAAAAAATAACAAGCCAAAGACCAACATCTTCAAACATTCCCGATACCGTCTCTAATTCTTGCTAGCTACAAAAGATGAAACGGCATGTGCATATTCTAATTATTGCATTTGTATGTTGCATACGAAAACACAATCGTTCCCAACTTTCAATAAATTAAGAAATAATAGTAGCGTAATTTATGAATGCGATCTCCTTACCGTTTGACAAAAAAAAAATTTTAATTTAAAATAAAGAAAATTATGATAGGATATAAAATCGTTGTCCATAGGATATTTAGTGAACACCTCATTATTTTTATTTTTCAATTATACCTTTATATCAGGCCAATACACCCATACAAGGAATTGATACACCCACAAAGGCCAATACACCTATTTAAGACAAATACCACTATACTAATGACATGTTTACTAATCCGTAATCGGATGAGGAAGAATTGAATTGATGAGTCAAATTCAGATTCCATTGAAGTTGTTTATTAAACTATCTGAGTTCGGGATTGAAATAGTACTGATTCCTTATAAGTTGTTTACTAAATTATCTTGAATTGGAATTGAAACCAGATTAACGACTAAAAGTTAATTGGTGCTTAAAAAGTGAGTTCAGTACGAGTATTATTGAGCAGGGCTTCTATTTTCAACCCAACTCGAATCAAACATGAAATTCACAAGTTGGGTTGACCATTATTTAACTGAATTAGTGAATGATAGGACAAGGTTACAAGAATAATAAATTAATGTCAAACATCAATAAGTTGATTCTATCACGACAAGCCAATAATTTAACAAATATTTGCAGGAAGGAAATTATTTAATTAATTATGATATGTGGTAGAATTATAAGATTATTTCTCTTATTTTATTTAGTGGGGCCTAATCAACAATTTTGTAAACGTGAATTTCAAGCGCCCTCTCATCCATGAAAGCAAAACCAAAATCTAAAGCCCTCTTCTCTAGAGAAAAAAAACTTGGCCGCATACAGTATTTTGGTGTTTGGGGTGGGGAAGGTCACTCCTCCACTTCCTCCTCCTTGTCTCTCTACTTTCATCTTCTATCTCTTTCTTCCTGGTGAAATCATCTTATCGTATGAATACACCGGATTATTTACCTCTATACTTGTGGAGAGATTTTTTTCCTAGCCAATTTCATGTTAGGCTTTTGTCTCTCTTGTGTATTGCAAGGTTTGTCTCACCCCTGGTTGTTCTAGGGTCTTCATACCAACCTTTTTGGTTGGATCGTTTGCAAATTTGTGTAAATCTATCTTTTTGGCCTATGATGTATTGACCTTGCAATTTTGGGGTAGATGAGATGGATGTTCATTAGATCTCTGTGTTGAGGGGTGTAGCTATTGATTTTGTAGATCTATTACCAATTGGTGTTTTGAGTTTAGGGGTGTTTGGGAAATGCTATGATCATGTGTCCTTGTGGAAGTTGAGCAGGATTTTATTTTCCACTTCACCGGATGTAGTGGCTTTACAAATCCTCTTACCTCAGGTAGGAATGAGTATCACACATGTCATGGCTAACAAGAGAGTCTGAAACAGTCATGCAAGACCAATGCTAGAGCAAGATAAAATAAAACAACAAACTGACACATAAATCTTCGACGCAAAGACCTCCGACAAGAACACTACAACATAATCCAACTGTCAAAAGAATCCTACTATGAAATCATAGTCCTTTACATAGCCACAAGATAGTGAGAACATCTGACAGCGAACACAATACGCGAAGAAGAAAGAAAACAACCACTAAGCACACCATCTCTAGCCACCTCTAATAGCAATTGGCGATGAAAGAAGAGAAATATGCAAGGAGCAACACAAAGAAGAGACTAACTGCAAATAGGCTAGGAAAGAAAATAAAAAAAAACAGAAAGCCCCCCAAGCATGTCGTATCATCTCAACATTGACAAAGAAGCCTCCTATGAAAACATAGTCCTTAAGACAAGTGGAGAATCAAAGATTAGTTAAGGGGAGAACGAAGAAAACACCACGCAACAATAACAAAACTGTCATAGCCACTTAACCTGAACATGAGGATCAGGTATAAGAGCATTTGCTGGATGCCAAGCCCATGAATGCTCCAAGAACATATTAAGGAAGGCATCTAAGAGACTCCACTGGGCCAGTCTTCATAGGTTTGTCAAGAAGGACACTAACATCACCCGGATTCGTAGTTTCCATCTCAGAATAACCAACCAAACCAGTAAAGATAGGTAAAAGGATGGTACCCAATAACCCTAGTTGCCAAAACCTTGGCCCAACATCGTGAAAAGAAGGATCAAAGCTATAGACCCTAGGTGAAAAGCCATCCACGCCAAATCTCTGGACAACGGCTGTCTTCTTCTAAAGGTAAGGCTTAAGATCAAAAATCGGACGACGAAGGGGGTATGAGGAAAGCCGTCTCTACTGTGACCGCCGACCCCAACGAAGTAGCTTGCACTATGATCGTTGTTGACTTGAAGACTGTCGGCACAATAGCATAAGTTAACTCGCTGAAACCACCATACCAAGGCAACCACCAAAGACGTTAACGCACCAAGGAGAAAGAGAACAACGAAACCAACGCCCAAGGTATGAGAGAGACAACAATGAGGCAAGCAATCCAGAGTCGAAGAGAGAAGTGAAGGCATCGACTCGACGAGGAAGAAAAATGGCAACAACTCAATGTGGAAGAAAAGTGACCCGACGTTGTCAAGTCGAAGAGGGCAATGAATGTGGCTGAACGTGGATGAAAACAAGCGTTAGGCTAAGGAAGGGATGACGGCTGAACATGGAGAATCTAAACCCTAATATTTGACGCACGAGTATTGTCACGTAGCGAGAGAGCAACCCCTAGATTGTTGTTGTTATAGTCTTTTCTTAAAGTATCGTGGTCGACTATTTTGTTAGTCTCAATTAGATGTCTTAATAATTTTCAATTATACTAATTTTTGCAAGGATAATCTATAATTGAAGACTTGAAAAATAGACGATTTGGATCGTGGAAAAAAAAATTCATAAGAGACCCTAAAGGGTGTCCCTCAATGGAAGGGGACTGGAGTAAGAATTATAATAAGAAGACGATAAAGACTTTTTTTGACTTAAAAACATCGGAATTCAATTCCATAAATGCGATTAATCACTTACGTCAAATGTTTTAGATTAAACCATGTTGAAATAGTGGATTTTATATTTTCGAATCACTAGGAAGACATTAAATTTCAGACATATTTCCAACATTACATATTTGACCCGTTATAAAAGGTATTTTGTAAATATCCTATATTTTATATTTTATTTATTTATTTATTTCCTTCCTCAATTCTTGTAATTGTTTTTGCCAAACACTAGAGAAATTGCATTTATAAATGACGTCAAAAGCGCAATACAAATACAAAAGCCTCAAGGGTTAGAACAAACGCCCCCAAAGGTCTACACCAAACATAGAGATGTAATTACAATAACAAACTTATATGGTACACTTTCACTTAAAGCCATGCAGAGTCAACTTGATTTACAGTAGCAAATCAATTACATTAAATACATAAATTCTTGACGTGCATGGGAAGTCAACATGATCCTCAAATCATGCCAACAGATAGTTAATCCAATTCCCATTTATTGTTTATCATGTTTTATTTCTTTTTATTTTGACTTTGGGTCAAAACAAAAATGTTGGAAATGATTAAATTTTTTTGTTTTTTTTTTTTTTTTTTTTTTTTTTTTTTTTTATTACATTAAATTGCCTCTTGGCAGAGTCAACTTATCCTTGAGATTTTGTACCCAAAAAATATCCATATATCCATATATAGAAGCAAGTTTCCACACTCAATGTCATTATCTCTCTCAAAATAAGTTTTTATTTAATTTTTTTTTTCCTTTTCTAATCAAATTTGATTTAAAAAATAGTCATGGTTAGAAATCGGAAGCACTAGGGCTGATGAGAATAATGCACTCTAGATAGGTTTCAACAACCAAAAAATAAAAAACATCACACAACCATGTGATCTATAGGCCACTTGGCTCTAGCTTTTTTTAGGCTTCCACAACCATACAAAAAAATATGCGAATTTTGGTATTCTTCTTTCTTTCTTGTGCCACCATTGCCACTATCTCTCTCAACTTTGTGGTATATGCTGTTTACTTAATAGCTTTACCTCTATCTCATTTCATGTTCCATTGCAAATCGGAACATTCTTCTTCCATTGGGCTTTGGCCCCTCCCACTCAAACCAAAAAAGAAAATTGTTCTTCCTTCTTTTGTTTCAACTTTTTCAAAGGAGTACAATATTAATAATGTTTCTTTGAACACAGAATTTGGAATTTGTGCTATATGTGTAGAATGTGGAGAAAAAGGCAAGCAAATACACAGAGAAAAGAAACACAGGATATGCCCAAGTTGAAAAGCCAAATAGGTCAGATTGGCCAGTGGAGGAGTAACAAGTTTCTTAAGAAAAAGAAGATTGTCGCGTACAATCAAGTATTCAAGAACAAAATTCAAAGTTGGCTATCTAGAACCATTTGAATGTGATTGAATTGAAATAAACCTTTGATAGCAAATCAAGTGGAGAACAGGCAAATAAATACAATTAGAAAGTCAATCGGGTAGTGGAAAAAGACCTTAACTTTCAGATAATAGTATCAAGTTTGAACCCCATGACACCTTGATACTGTGGAATTACAAGCTAAAGACATTACTGAGCAACATCCCAAAGTCAAAGACATTACGAAGCAACATCCCAAAGTCAATACTGGGAAGAAAAAGTAGTTGTTCCACTCATTGGGGGAATGAACTAGGTTCGTGTTTAGGGGGCACTTATAAACCTCAGTCTTGGGTTGGTTTTGTTCAAAAACCATACATTACGTCAATGCGAAGTATTTGCTGTTGTTGAATTTGACCCAAGAAAAAGAAAAGAAGAAAGTTGAAAATGAATGGTCTCAGTGTGACGAAATATCAACTCATAGTCTTACATTTTACGTATTTCTAACTCTAGGGAAAGTATTCCTATTTTTGAGTTTATAGTTTTAAATAATTTCTTGATTTTCTTGGATTATAACTTTTTTTTGTCCAAAATTAGGAAGGGGTAGGAGGGAAAACTCATACACACGGATACCCTGGGAATTTGAACCTAGGGCCACTTGGGAGCACACCAAAGGCTTGACCAAATGGGGAATGCTAGCAACCTTCTCTCTAACCTTCTTTTTTGGATCTTCTCTCTTTTCCTTTTGACATGTGTCATTCTCTTTACATTTAAAATAATGTCATTAATGTATCATACAAACTATCCTTTGTTTTCCAAGTTTACCCTTATTATATGTATTGACTTTCATGTTTCCTTCAATTTATCCCAAGAAAGATTTTGGGTTTGAGTCTTATTATCCGTGTAGTATGTGAGTTTAGTATATTATTGCTACTATCAATAGGAAAGGTCTTTACAAAAAAATTCAAATTGTGTTTATATTAATATTTTTCCTTACTATTACATATACTCTAAACACGGTATATAAATAATAAATGTTAGAAAATTCTTGTTTGGGGTAGCTAATGCTAAAAACATCATGCATAAGCGAGGGGGGCTTGTAACTAATTTTCTCTTGTTTTCGATTTTTTTGTTTTCATCATATTTTAGGAAACGCAATCACGAGTGTAGAATATAGGTTTAATTTTAATTTTAATATCTGTCAAAATTTTAATTTTTTAATGTTTAATTACACCTAAGCTAAAAAAGTGGACCCTATGTTTGCCACATCATCACTTCACAGAAGACCAAATGGTCAAACTGACAGAACGTGTAAATTGGTTGAATTTTGAAACGCTAGGGCGTAAATTGACAAAATTAAAACCCCATTTCAAAAATGACCCCAAACCTTGAGGGGGTAAAATGATGTTAGCCCTATTATATATTAAAAATGTTTAATCAATGCTTTTCTTTTTTTTCTTTTTTTTTTGGCCCTAATGCCAATTTAACTTATTTCTGGTGCTGTATATATAGGAGGGAAAAAAAAATACATGAAGTCAAATGTCGTATGAGCACTTATTTTTTTTAACCCAAGAAAACCTCATATGAACTAATCGAATAAAATGTCATATATATATGAGGTGTAATTTGTAAAAACAGTCAATATTGTTCTCTATGCATGACATACTGGTGATGAGGACCCCATTAAAGACAAATATATATGTCGTTGTTGAAGACCAGATTTCCCGCCTTCTTCCTCCCTCGACAGGGCGGCAATAAAATTTCCATCAGTGACTTTCATGTGTTCTTTGTCTCACTATTGTTGGCCTCTGTTTTTGGAAGTCATTTTCATGTTAATCAATAGCTAACATTATCTCAAGAGTATATATGTTTTTCATTCAATATGTTAATTATGACTTTTACTTCTTGTTTTTTTGAGTCAGAATTATGACATTTACACAATTACAAAGTTTAATCAAATATACGACGTGACTTATTTGTGGATATAGAATATGGAAAGATGAGACGTACTCGATATTACTCATGTACCACTTAAATTAAAAGCTCCTACAAATATTACAATATTGATGTTAATTAGGGTTATTCGTAATTGTACTCATCGGTCCATGTTAGATTTGTTTAGCACCAAAATTGTGAATTCTATTTCTATCAAGATTTTCTGGATATATGTTGGTGGTCCTTCTCAGAAGTTGTCTATAATCTATGGTTAAACCTTCTGTCAAGACAAAGATATGATCAAGATATTCTCCATATTCAAACCATGTGAAATGCTCAAATCAAAATACATGTATACAACGTGTGATTCTTAGAATTATTGTCTCTATCCATTTGGAGACCAAAATTATTGGATCCGTGAGTTACCTACTTGCCAATTGATTTTTTGTCTGATATTACAAGCACACGACTTTCGTATAATTTGTCTATATTAATATACACATTGTAGGTATTTATCACATGTCACATGTCAATGAAAGATCACTCCTCTAAAGTACTGTGTAAGCTAAGCTATGAATCGATCTGGCTTAAACAAATCAATTTGATTAGAATCACAAAAGGGCTCCAAATGGCAAGGGTTGAGAACAATCATACTCCTTTGTACATCGCAAGGGTTGTTCAGCACCCAAACGGTCAAAGACACGAGAACACACCAAGAAGAGAACACAAGGAGGCAACAAAGAAGGACCTCATAAAGCACACTAACTCATCCCAAAACCTGCCAAAGAAAACCTCATACGATGACAATCATAGTCATTTGTACAGCGTAGGAATTAATCAGCATGCAAAGAATCAACAACAAGAGAAGAGTCATTACAAGCAAATTAAAGAACACAAACGAAGAGAAACTCTCAAGGAGCACACCAACGTTTCCCAAAACTGTCAAGGAAAACGTCATATGAGAACAACCATAGTCCTTTGGACAACACAAGAGTTGTTGAGTAGTCAAAAGACAGAAGGGAACACCACAACAAATCTAGAGGCTCCAACCTGCAAAACAAAAGAACACAAAAATCAAACCAAACAAAGCAAAAAGGGAAAAGGGCGAGTAGAAGGAGAGTGAGAGGAAACGAGAGGTGAGGGAAGGAAAAGAAAGGGGGAAAGAGGGAGGCCGCCAACCCCAAAAGGGGGCGGAGGCTAGAAAACCTAACCCTAGGGTTTTTTTTTCTCTTACTC